CCTCCTTCCCGAGGCTTCAGGAGCTAGTCCTCGGTGCCATCGCGCTGGAGGACCGCGACCTCAACTTCCTGCTCGCCGCTAGCCCCGTGCTTGAGGTCCTCAACATTGTTGGAAGCGTGGAAAAGTTGCACGCCTGTCTTACCAGCCATAGCCTACGCTGCGCACAGTTCTGCTTAGTCCTTGTCTTGAAGAAATGGCGATAGTGGATTGCCAATCCCTTGAGCGCTGCTTTATCTGGAGGTGCCCTAGCCAGCGTTACAGAGTTAAGATTGGCCACGCGCCGCAGTTGAGCACATTGGGTTATTTGGAGCCTGGTGTACACGTGCTGGAGATTGGCAACACTGTCATCAAGGTCCTAATTTCCCTTCTTTCTTTGTGTCAATAGTTGACATACAATATCTACTGATTGGTGCCTAACATGACGGTGTTTGAATCTGTTGTTTTGTTCACTGCAGCCAGGAACAAAGCCGAGTCCCAAAACCACAGTTCCAAGCGTGCAGATGTTGACTTTCCATCTGCATTTCGGAGTTCACTATGAAGTGAAGATGCTGCCAAGCTTCCTCAAGTGCTTTCCCAACGTCGTGACGCTCTGTATCCAGGTAAACTTGACCCATTTTTCATTTGGCATTTTCATCGTTATCACTTATTCATTCTCCACTTTGTAGCACTACGTTATTGTTGCATATATTTTTTTCCTTTTTTCCAACACGGATGAACCAAAATTCATTGTGGATAGTAACGAAATTACAGAGTTTCATGCCATCTGACATGTTCAAGACCCAAAAACCTCACATTGCCCTCTAGACCGAGCACAAAGGGCTCAGCCAATGGACCAACCAAAACCGCCGGCGCCTACGCCACCCTAGAAAGAAAACCAAGGTCCAGACACACAGAACATAAGCTACCAGTAAACCCAGTTCGACCTATTACAAGCCAGAGAGGGCTGCTACGGCACGCAGGCCAGCGGCGTCTTCCTTTCCAGCAAACTACTAAATCATTCCAATCTTGATGATCGCCTGCGATTCATCTCCCTCCTGCTGGACTTGTTGGTGAAACTGTAAAGCCACCGACTTCAGAGCTGCCGCCCAATATTCCATCCGAGTCACGATCTCTTGCTTCTGAAGCCTTGCCCAATATATCAGCATAGAACAAATCAAACAAGTTTCTTGTTCTCCAAATGGCCTAGCAAACTGCAGCCAAACCAACCATGTGAACCTGTTTCCCTTGTGGGAGGACCCATTTCACCCACCTCTAATATTGGTTGAAAGAGGAAGGTCTGACAGATATCCCAAAAAATAAAGGCCAGTGTACTCCACACATATTTGGTAACAAGGCACTCAAGGAAAGGATGCACAACACACAACAGATTCTTCCTCAGTGCAAAAGGCACCAGAATCATCACCTTTCCATTTTCTTTTTATTATGAGGTTATCCTTTGTCCGAATTGCGTTTTGTAAAGTCAGCCGTATGAAGATTTTTATTTTTAGAGGCAACTTGGCCTTCCAGATCTGTTTATTGTTTGGACCATAACTATTTGCAACATAAGTGCTTGGACATAGATTTGACACTAAAATTCTCTGTTTTCTCCCAGTTCCAACTTGCTACATCTTTTGCTTCATTCACTTTGTATCTGAAGATAATATCACGTAGGCGTCTAAGCTGGTCCTGCAGGCCTTAACCACCTTCGAAAATCCAACCTCCAGTTTTTACAGCAAAGTCCATTCACTGGGCAATTTTGTGTAGTACAGATATCATATAGACCAGGAAACTTGTCTTTCAGTGAGACATTTGCACACAAAATATCTCGCCAGAAATCAATCATATGATCATTTCCCACCTTCATAGACCTTCCCATCAAGTAAATATGTTTGACTTCGATCATATCATTCCACACAGGGGAATTATTAGCCTTGTAAGCAACTTGTCGAGTTGTTGTAAACATTTACATTTCAAGTATTTCTTCCTTGCAATCTCCTGCCATAAACCATCTTCATTTTCAAGTTTCCACCACCATATGCAAAGAAGACTAATGTTCATTTTCCTTAAGTCTTTTATCCCTAAACCCCCTTTATCTTTGTGCTTAGTTATGATCTCCCACTTTACTAAGTGGTATTTCCTTCTCATCCCATCACCTTGCCAAAAGAACTTTTTCCTGGTTTTGTCCAACTTGTCAATAGTAGTTAAGGGTAGGAGGTATATAGACATATCATAAGGTGAGCTTGTTACTTAAGTTAGAATCCAAAAGAGAGGTTCTCCCACCAATGGACAGTGAACTACCTTGTCACCCATCCAGTCTTTTTAACATTTTCTCATCAAGAGGGACCAATTAGCTATGTGAAGCCTAGATCCAGACACAGGGACCCCAAGGCATCTTATAGACCATTTTCCAATCGATGCAGCTAAAAGTGTCTACGTATTCCATAGGTTTATTAGCATCTTGGCTAATCATTATTGCTTCACTTTTAGAAAAAATAATTTTAAGACCAGACATGGATTCATACAGATACAACAGGAACTTGAGATTAGTTGCTTGTTCTTTGCTATCTTGCATGCACAAAATTGTGTGGTCTGTGTATTGCAGAATTACAACATCATTATTCACATATCCTGGCACTAGGCCTGTCAAAAGCTTGTTTTCCTGTGCATGATCATTTTTGCAAGGGTATCCACCGCAGTATTGAACAAAAAGGGTGAAGACGGTCTCCTTGTCTCACCCCTTTCCCAGTAGTAAAGTATGAGCCATAAGTATATCTAGGTCATGACCATTGCAATCCAGTCACACCAATGATTGTGAAAAACCCCTTTGCCTCAGACAAGAAAGAAGGAAGTCCCAGTTAATTTTATCATACGCTTTTTCGAAATCCAATTTAAGCACAGGACCCTCTCTTTTTCTGTTTTTTTGTATCATGTAGGATTTCATGGACCATCACTCCATCCATAATGTTTCTTTCTTTGATAAACCCCGTTTGTCATTTATCGATAGGTTTGTTCATGACTTTCTCCATCCTAAGCATAAGGGTTTTGGTGAAGATTTTGTAAATGACATTGAGCAGACGTATAGGTCTGTATTGTTGGATTTTGTTCGCATTCTTGATTTCAGGAAGTAGGGTAATTACCCTGTAGTTTACTCTCCCAATGTCCAAATTTTTTTTTTCATGAAGTGCAAGCGGTAGTCTTACCGCCTGTGACCGGAAGATCCCGGGTTCGAGTCGCGGTCTCCTCACATTGCATAGGCGGGCACAGAGCGGGAGCTCTCTGCACTGGATACGCCCTTTAAACTCCATGAACATTGAATGTCATCTCTAATGAAATCCCAGCAGTGTTGATAAAATTCAATAGCCATATGATCAGGGGGGGGGGTGCTTTTCTCCATAGATAAGATGGCTTCTTTAATGTCCTCCATAGTAAAAGGTTCAATCAACTATCCAAACAGGTTTTTATAATATTGTGTCGCATGCTCAGTTATTTTATCATCCCCAACAATATCACCATTATTGTTGCATATATATATATATATATATATATATATATATATATATATATATATATATATATATACATGGCCTAAACTGTGAATCTAAATTGCGGTCTGAACAAACAAAAGAGCCCACCAGCAACCTAAGTCTCAAGTTCTGGCAGGAGGCTGGGCCCATCAAGTGTGTCCAGTCACGTCTCAAGACGCTGGCTTTTCGTGACTTCCATGGGGATGAAAGTGAATTTGCTTTCCTTATGTTTATTGCCGAAAACGCCCAGGTATTGGAGAAGATGAATATTGTGCTGGAATTTCGAAAACCCTATAAACCAGAAGAGCTGGCCTCGAAGATGATGGCATTGGACAATGCAAGATGGGCAAGCGGAAGCAAGAAAGTGGGGTACAAGTTTTCCCAGCTTGGTGAGGGAGGAGGCAGCGTTTGGAATCACAGATTAGCGTTTGATTTTAATTGGAACGATCCTTTTCTGTACCTTTGAGTTTAGAACTCAGACACAGTAAATAAACAATTAAATTAGACACTACATGCTAATGCCCCACTGCTCTGCAGTTTTTTTACCAACGTATGTCTAAATTAGAGATATCGCAACTAGTTGTATTGTAGTAACTTATTCACCACTGCTATATGGATGCTAAGTGAGTGTGCTTTACGCTGCTTTTGTTTACCACATTTGAACTGTTTCTTTGTCTTGTTGCTGTTTTCTAATACCGAAGATGACTAACATTTTAGTTAGTTATATTAGCATAGTAACTGTACTGGAAGTGCACCTTGTACCTCCTCTTTTGCATCACACCATTTCCGCTAAGAATTATCTCAGGTCTGTGGTGAACCACATCGACCTGTATGCAGATGCCACTGCACTACCCACCTGGTTATGGCCTTATGGGCACTGATATTCTCATATGATCATGTCGGGTGTGGCTCGATCGGTCTTGTTTAGTTGTTCCTTGAGCGCTAGCATGCGTTCTTACAGCTTCTGAGCCTTCCCTGGGAAAGGGTAAGGCGGGTGGACTAGCATGATTGATGGGTGGTCATTTCAGCAGGAGCCGGCTACTAGCCAGCCCTGGGGACTGTTTTGTTTGCAAACTTCATTGCAGTGCTCGTGCCTGAAGAAATCTCAGTCTTGCATTTTTTGTGACGATCGTTGCGGAAGAAGCGCCTAACAATAAATTCATGTGAAAGTAGTGATAATTATACATGACGAAAACCTAAAAAAATGACATATTATGGACTTGCACACAAATCATTAATGGACTGAAGTAGCTAAACGCTAACAGCAGTGCAGTGAACAGCTTGCTACAGATGGAATCAGGCCCAGATTTACAGAATTTTACAAGCCAATAGAACCATGCCAACACGAAGAGATGACAGCACATAGGAGAACTAGGCAAGGAAGCTCCCAAATTAACTTGCTAATAGCAAGGAATAACCACAAAAATACACTGATAAACACATTTGTCCCAGGCAGGGAGCTCAGCGCACCTACTGACAATACCACTATGCATCACACTACCTTGCTGAGGGAACTGTCTCACTTGAATCAACTGCCTCCTCTATCGCATCAGCTTTGGGACTCCTCTCCTCGGTGACGCAATCTGAGCTATCAGGTCCGGATGAGCTCTGAAATGAGCTATCAGGCTTGAACAGATCATCGTTCTCCAGGTTGGAAAGCTTCTCAGTAGATTCTCCCTTGAGCAGCTCAACGACTTCAGACATTATGGGTCTCTGCTCTGGTTTGTCCTGAGAACAGGCGAGCCCAACAAGCACCATTCGCTTCAGCTCATCCTCGACGAAGCTATCCTTGAGCTTTGGATCAGCAATTTCCTTGAACTTTTTGTCACGAGCTAGAGGAAGAGCCCACTCAGTTATGGTTTTCTTCGTGGTGGGGTTAAGCTTCTCAACTGGCTTCTTCCCGCTGGCAAGCTCTAGGAGCATAATTCCGAAACTGAAGACATCGCAGCTTTCAGAGGCCTTCCCAAGCATTGCATACTCTGGTGCGAGATAACCGAGTGTGCCTTTCACCTTTGTGGTGACATGCGTTGCACCATCTGGAATTAGCTTGGCAAACCCAAAGTCAGCAACCCGAGCTTGGAAATTCGAATCCAGGAGAACATTGCTCGCCTTGACGTCTCTATGAATGATATGCGGCGTCGCATAGTGATGCAGATAACTACAAGATGAAAGAATTTTAAATAATAAGATTGCTGAAGTTTGGTAAGCATGAATGATGTTTTGAGGATAAACATGAACAATGATGTTGTGTGGCTTACGCGATCCCTTCTGCAGAATCGACGGCGATCTTTATTCTTCTTTCCCAACTGAGATTGCACTCTGCTGCGTGCTGTCCATGAAGTTGAGAGTGTATGCTCAGGTTTTGCATATAATCATAGACTATCAAGCGTTCCTGGCCTTCAGCACAATATCCGCGCAAGCTTAAAAGGCTCTTGTGCCTCACTCGTGCCAAAATCTCCACCTCGACAGCAAATTCTTTTTCAGCTTTGTTGCTCCAACTCTTGAGCCTCTTCACGGCAATCTGTTTGTGTCATTAAAGAGTGAAGTGGTAAGTTCCAGAGGATATGAAATCCCATTCATGGAGTAAAGAGTAAATGAAACATACGGGGTCCCTTAAGAAACTGGTATTGAAACACTCAAAAAGTGTGCAGCAAAAGCATACACAAGGAGCACGTAGCTCAAAATCCCACAGAAAAGAAAAATATTTACCTTATGATACACCAATTTAGGCAGATTGTTGCTTATAAAAAAGGCAGATTGTTGCAACATAGCATGCCCATGTGTCAAGAACCCTACTTTTTATCTAGCCACAATATATATAGGTATAGCATGAACAATGCAAACTTATACGAGCATAGGTTTACCATAGAGTAAAAACAATTAGCTGATGTGTTCGTATTTGCCAGGACTCTGTGATTGGCTGAAGGACAGTTCTGAAAACTACCATTTTAAATTTCAATTACTGCTAGAACTAGAAATAGCACTCCAAGATGAGACTGAATCAGGCCATGTTTAGTTGCCTCAAAATCCAGAATTTAGCACTATGTAAAAAGAAGATTTCCCGTCACATTAAACTTGCGGTATATGCATGGAGTACTAAATGTTGACGAAATCAAAAACTAATTGCATAGTTTGGTTGTACTTTGCGAGACGAACGTTTTGAGCCTAATTAGTCAACGATGGAACAATTATTACCAAATAAAAACAAAACGCTACAGTGTAGCTACAGTGGCGCAAATTCAGCCGGCACCGAATCCGGTGGCCAACTAAACGCGGCCTCAGTTAAGATACAATCATTAACGTCAGGAGGTTCCATTGATGGCACTGTCCTGCTCTTACCCCAAAAACATGCCAGTTGCTTTCGTTCCCCCCAAAAAAATGCGAGTCCCCAGAAGCTAACACTATAGCAAAAAAGGCTGTGCACACAGGGACACAGTAGAACAGATTATTTTGGTTGTTCAAGAGAAAGACTGCACCTGTGACCCATCCCAGAGCTGGCCCCAATACACACTGCCAAACCCACCCTCGCCGAGCTTGTTATCATAATTGAAATTGTTCGTCGCCGACTGAAGCTCCTTCAGTGAGAAGATCCGCCACGTCGTGTCCTTCTTCTTCCTCCTACCAGGTTCAGCCCTAAGAACACAACAAACCAACAGTGATTCAATCAAGTGACGGGCAGCAGTTACTAGAAGAATGCATGGTACGAAAAGGAAAGGTACTAATGGAGCCCCCAAAGGTAATCACTTCACCCAACTCCTCCCCAAATTGCAGCACATTCTGAACAAACTACTTAAAGTTAACTTTATGTCCTCTTCAACCTGATCTGCCCGCAATTCAACACTAATATTTGCAGTGAAACACAGGCAAACAGTGAAATTTGAAACGATGCAGAAGTTCAGATATTCAATCTTTGTCCTTCCGTTCGATCCAAACAAGACGTGATTACTCATTGTATTTATCATTCAACGAAGTACTGTACTAACCAACCCACAGAAATATACATCAAGCTCACAAGATTATCTCACATCTCTGATCCTTTCTCGTTAACCAAATCAATTGCCACCGGAGACACCACCCAAATAGATCAATTTCTCTGTGTGATGAAATTGAACACAGGTGAAGCACACAATAAAAAAAAAAGAGGCGTACCCAGTGCAGAGAGCTCCCGCTCTGTGCGGGGTCTGGGAAAAGGTATCAGTGGTAAGCCTTACCCTCGCCTGTCCAATACGAGGAGATTGCGACTCGAACCCACGACCTTCCGATCACAGGCGCTAAGACTCTACCGCTTGCACCAGGCCCGCCCTTAAGGTGAAGCACACAATCAGTTCCCCCAAAATCACAGTCTACAAAGTGACACACAAACCAAATAAGGAGGAAGAAAAAAAAAGGCTGCTACCATTTGACCATCCCCTTCTCCGGTTATCCCCCAAACCGAGCACAACCCAAACTCATAGCCCCAAACCCGCACCGAGACCTCAATTGCAAGGGGAAAAAAAATCGGCGGGCACGGCTAGCCGGCAACCACTCACCCGTCCGACCAGCAGCAGGAAGCCCACCCCATCGCCCGCCCGCCAGCCGCTTTCAGCGCCTCCAGAGCTTCCAGGTCAGCAAGAGAGCTAGCTGACCGGACAGACACGTCCCGCGGCCAGGCGCTCACCCGCCGCCGCCTTCTCTCGAGCCTCGACGCCGGCGGGACGGACAGCAACGGGGAGGACCGGAGGAGGGGAGGGAGAACCGGAGGGAGAGGGCGGATCTTCTCGTGGGGCGTGCGCTGTGTGTCTGTCGGCTGACTGGCTGAGCGCACCACCACTTCCCCACTAGCGTACGCAAAGCCAGGCCAGGGCCAGGTACAGGTAGCCGGGGGCGGGGCGCGGTCCGCTCACCCGCGGCCTCCCGAGCGGCCGTCCACGTGGCGGCGCGCGGTTGGCTGGTTTTGAACAGGCCGCGGTAACGGTCGGTTCTAAATCGGCGGGGTAACGTCACGCGGCGGGTGACGGGTCGCGGTTGAGACGGCCACTGACGTGCGGGCCACGCGGGGGTGGACTGGCACTGGAATGCGGGCCCCGCGGGGTGTGTTTAGAATGCTGGCTGCTGTTGGCCTATTGGGCGATGGCTACGTTTGACCAAAAGAAAAAGGATACCCCGGGGAAGACTTGGCTGAGTATTATACTGTTCGTATGTAACAAAACTCATGTGAGTTCTCCATGGATTGGTGAACAGCTTGCTGTTCTTGACCGTCTCAACGAGCCACCTCGTTGGAATTTTTCATGAGTGACTTGTTCGTGGTCTCACGGGATACAGGAGGTAATTATAAGTTATAATGCTATGATTCATGGGTTGTGTTTTGGTCTCTTTTTGGTATAGTTATGTATAATAGGAAAATGTTCAAATTACACTCTAAGTTTGTCCTACGTCTAGATAATCCCGTAAAACTAATTTAACTTACTATCTTATTAGTTATTTTAGTTGGTCTAATTTACCTCTTAAAAATTATTTCTTTTTATTTCTCTATGTGAAAGTTGAGTTTTAACTTGTATGTGGAAAAACATAAAAGACGACTTGTTAAGGGGTAAATTGCACAAACTGATATCGTTAGGAGAGGTAAACCGAACTAGATGTTAGTTTATGGGTTATCTAGCCATAGAGATGAGTAGTTTAGACGCTTTTCCTTACGTTAACCAAATACTCATAATATTTATTCCGGAGTGATAATACAGCTTACCTTGTGTCGGGTTTTTTATACATTATTACATCGACATTTTTAACTCATGATAGCGTGCAGAGCAAACAAAACCTAACATAGGTAAAATAGTGAGTTAATATCGCCTTTGCTTGCTAATCCACCTTTGCCCACGCAAAGCAAAAGGTTAATGAAAAGAATAGCCAAAAAAAGAAGCAAGTGTCCCACACTAAATCCAGCCTTCGACATCACTATCAGCAATCAGCAATAATTAACAATAGGACAAAGAGCTCTTGTCGGCCCCATTTATTAGTTTGGCGCGCGGTACACACACAAATATGCTATCACAAAGCGATCACAAAATGATTTGCACGCTCGACGCTCCCCATCACGGGCCATGTGTCGATTTGTACTAAGAGTATCCCCTCCTAAAAACTTATAGTTTGGCAACTCCTAAAATGATTTAAGGAAGAAAAAAGAAGATCATCTTCGAGAGTTTCTATTAAATGGCATCTAAAAACATCTGCGTACGTCGTACCGACATCGACGCCATCCTTGTGAACTGCCGGAGCTCCGCTGCATCGCGGCCCAGCAGCAGGGCGACCTTGGTCCGGAACACCTCCCCGTTCTCCCGCCGCTCCACGTCGGTGTCCCCCAGGGTGGCCTCGATGTCCTCCTGCACCTTGCGGTAGAACCCGGCGCAGTTGCGCAGCAGCTCGAACAACATGCCCAGCTGCGCCGCCGTGCTCCACCGTGTTCACCGCCGCCACCAGCGTGCCGCACGCCCACGCGCTGTCGCCGGTCCCGATGAAGGCCGCGGCCACCGCGGCGGTGCCGACAAGCGCGGGCCCCACCACGGCGAGGCCGCGGTTGATGGACAGCACCAGCTTCCCCACCGTTAGGTACTGGTGCTTGTCCTTGGCACGGAGCACGCGCAGCAGGCCAGCGCAAGCGAGAGCTGCCAGCACGCGAGCACAGCCAGCGCGGTCGAGCGACCGCGTCCGACGCGGCCGGGGCCAGCGACGAGCGAGGCCTGGGCAGAGGCACGGCGACGGCGCGAGCGCGGGGCCTGCGCGGACCAGGACCGCAACCTGCAGTGGCGCGGCCAGCAGGTCTGTGCGGCCTGGGCGGAGGCGCGGCCGGGGCCAGCGACGAGCGAGGCCTGCGCGGAGGCACGGTGAAGGCGCGGCCTGCACGGCTGCGCGACCTGGGCAACGGCGAGCGCGCCTGCAGTCCCATCGCGGGCCCCTCCGGCTAGACGTCGGTAGTTTCTTCCCAACAGCAAAGTCGCGGTTTCTTCATGCCTTGTTTCACGAGTAGACTCCTGACCAGAGCTCCTGGACCGGGTGGTGGTGGTGCTGCTCTTCGGCTGTTGCTGCGGGTGGCGGCGCGGCCACCACCGCGCGGGCTCCACGGCCTTGGGGAACTTCTCCAGCATCGCCGAGGGAAGGATACGCGGGGTCGGAGGTGCGCGTAAAGTTAGGCGGGTTGGCTCGGTTTTTTCAAAATGCCTAAATTTTAGAAGTTAAGATTAGGAATGGCTGGAAATAGGTTTTTTCTCATATTTCTAAAAATTAAGGATTAGGAGGGAGATTAAGGAACTCTTGAAGATGCTCTAAGGGCCTGTTTGGTTTCTACAGACCTTCTAAAATTCTCGTCACATCGAATATTTGAACATGGAGTATTAAATATAGACTAATTACGAAACTAATTGCACAACTTGCGACTAATTTACGAGACGGATCTTTTAAGCCTAATTAGTCTATGATTTGACAACTTGGTGCTACAGTAAACATATGCTAATGATGAATTAATTAGGCTTAAAAAATTCATCTCGTAAATTAGCCTTCATCCATGTAATTGGTTTTATAATTAATTTATATTTAATGCTTCTTATTAGCCTCCATCTATATAATTAGTTTTATAATTAATTTATATTTAATGCTTCTTATAAGTATCTAAATATTCGATGTCATATAAATTTTAGGAGAACCAAACACCTCCTTATTCTAGTGCTTGCTTGCAAAAAAGGAAAAGAAAAATGGAGCAATCGAGCGGGGGTTCCGTCAGTTTCGCCGCCTGAAGCTCCGGCTGCGTCGACCTGTTCTAACCACCCTGCTCATGACATCGCAGATTACGCACGTAGCAGGACAGAACATGACAGCTGATGTTGGACCGATGGTGACATGTTGAATTTTGTCGTTAGACAGACAGACGCCTTGTTTGTTGATTGAAGTTCTATTCATCCCGTGAACCTCACCGTGTGTGTATTGACCTTTTGCATCTATTAGGCGCGTTCGCTGGTCTGATCTTGCTGACCAGCCGGCTGCTCCTCCTCATAATAATTAGCCAGTTTTAGTCGCTACAGTGTTTCTCTTTTACACCAACCAGCGTGTTTCAGCCAAGTTTTAGACCACCAGCTTGTTTCAGCCAAATTTTAGACCAGCGAACGAGAGTTTAATGACTGATAATAACAGAAGGGTCCGAGGGGGTGCGCTATCCATGCTAGGCGGATTTATTGAAAGGATTTATTAAAAAGTTTCCATGATTTGATTGAATCCTAATTATTTGGGTGTATGCCGAGTCATAAATATGATAATTACAACCAAATGCCCTGGTGGTAGCCTTTTTGAAGTCAATATTTCTAAAAGTTAATTGGCAAGTAACTTTTTTATGCATTGGGTTCGGATTTTTTTTAAAGGAAGTAGCTAAATTACGGCTTTTTTTTTTGGTAAAAGTACAATTATTCTATTCCTTTTTCGGCAAGGATACTAATTAGCGTTTGTTTGTTTTTTTGGCGGGATGCGGCCAGGACCAGATACCGACCACACATTTGCACATCTATACGTTCACAAAAGAAGGCAAATAAGGCCCAGGCCTATGCTTTTAGGTACTACATATATACGTTCACAAAAAGACAATGTTTTCAGAAAAAAGAACACATCTCAGAAAATGAATACATTTGCATCTGCTGTTTTTCAAAAAGCATAACACTATACATCTAGTCCCACACATTTGCACATCTTCTCTATACTGGTCCGCATCTTGCTTCTATGTACATGGCCTGCATTCTTGCATGTTAAAAAAAGATAACACGTCAAAAATTTGTTGCTGGAAGGAGATAAAAAAAGGATGCTTATGTTCCTGGAGCCTCTATTGGTGATGAGCAGGTTGCTGCTAATAATGCTGTAGTGGATTCAATTTTCCTAGACAATTTAAGTGTCATTCAATAGGCAACAATGTCTTTCTAATTAGGCAATATTTGTATTCTGTGTTCATTTGCAACCACAGCCTCACCCCAACCCCCGGTTTATTTGCAAAAATGCATATCAGACAAAGGCAGGGTGATGATATCAATAACTAGCTTTTTGTACAAAAGGCAGATTAATTCAATGATTAAACAGAAAGGATCATTATAACAGTAGAAAAAAAAAAGGAAAAAGAATGATATGTGAACAACAATATGTCACCTGCATTAGTCAGCACCCCACTCCCAATCTGCACTTCCCAACTCGAGAAAATGGAATCCCAGGCTTCCCCTAGTCACCTGCGCATGGTTAAAGTCACTTAGAGCACAGAGTAACGCTTGACGGTAAAAAGAGTAGAGGTTATAGGTACATTTTTGGTGTTAGACACAAATAAAATTGCCACCAGATTACTAATAACTTCCCGGACTAATGATATTAAATTGCTTAACTAAATTTACATGCACATTTTTCGGTGGTACTGTATTGCTCGTCTACACTTTCATCTAGCCTGCTGCACACTCCGCCTTTGGTGTTGGAAACAAATAAATTGCCACCAGTTTAGTTTGCTACACTAGCAGAGGTGTGCTCATGCTGCATTCTGTGCTCAAGTTCATCTTCTACCTCTAACTGTGAGCTGTGAGAGGGTGATTATAACGTGATAAATAAATTTCACATACCTTGCGCCATGGGTGAGCTTTGATCTGAGGAAAATCTAAACTCGGTGTACTTTGGATTCATACATCGGATTTCCTCACATATTGAAGTACCAAGAACCTGTCAGCAAAAAGCAAATCCATTCAACTACATGGAAATAGAAAAACACTAGTTAGCACATTTCTTTAGAACTAATATTAGTGCAATCCGCAGAACAACCAAGTACTTTTATTATCTCAACATCCACAATACTTTCACCAGGGAAGAGAGGCTGATAATTTTAACAAAAATATGTTTAGTTCTAAGTTTGTTGTCTAGATGGATACATAACCACACTAACCCACAAGAAATCTGTGGGAAAAGCAGAGAAGCAAAACTGACCTGCAATCTAAGAACAGAAAAAACAAAGAGAGGTTGGAGAAGAATGATGTAAAAATTGCCTAATGATTTGAATTATTTTGCCTTAATCTTGCCACAATATTGCCTAGTCAGAGTACATTTAGTTGCTTATTCCCAATGAAGTTCAGTAACTAATCAATTTGGCTTGTGAATTTATCTGCAATGATTTAGAAAAGACTTAATACCAAAAAAAGAGTCTATCACCTAACACAAAACGTTCAAAAAACTGCTTCAGCCTGCACATGAAATGTGGACCATAATGCTGTAGTGGATTGCATTTTTTTTAGCCCAGCCGACCGTAACTCCTAACCTATCACACAATTCTGTATTGGCGTCGGATCAGCCATAGACTACAGGACTGAAATAAAAAAATAGTGTCCTTGAACATTCCACAAACTAATAGACTCTCATGAACATAGCAGCATGAGCATGAACACCATCTTATTTAGGCTGAGGCACGGGTACTTACGCCATGCCCAAAGAATGTCTAATTGCTAATTATTCAGCTCTAAATGCTGATTATTGACACCTCCATAAAACCGAACACCAGCTGCATTTTCTTTGGAAATTTAAGTTTCATTCGTTAGGCAACAATACCTTCCTAAATAGGCAATTTATGTATTCTGAAAAAGCAAGTATAGTGTGCTGCACCAGCAGAGGTGTGCTCGTGCTGCATTTTGTGCTCAAGTTCATCTTCTACGTCTAATTGTGAGCTGAGAGGGTGAGTGTAACGTGATAATTAAATTTCACATACCTTGTGCCATGGGTGAGATTTGATTTGAGGAAAACAAACATGGTGTAGTTTCAATTCATACATCGGATTTCCTCACATGTTGGAGTACCAAGAACCTGTCAGCAAAAAGCAAATCCATTCAATACATGAAAAATAAAAAAACACTAGTTAGCACATTTCTTTAGAACTAATATAGTGCAGTCCGCAGAATAATCAAGTACCTTTATTATCTCAACAAAGCTGATCCACAACACTTTCACCATGGAAGAGAGGCTGATAAAATTATTTTGACAAAAATGTGTTTAGTTCTAAGTTTGCTGCCCAGATGGATACATAACCACAGGAAATCTGTGGGAAAAGCAGAGAAGGGAAACTAACCAGGCCAAGAAGCAGCTCAGCAAGAAAACTCCATCACTAAGTTAACAAAAAGTTCATCTCTGCTTGTGGTAGAGAAGAAGCAATGCTTCAAGGAAACGACATTGCCATGATCCATGGATCGCATGATTTGCAGCTCCCTATTCTTGTAGCGCTTGTCCTGCAAAACCCCTAGGGATGGTTTTTCATATTAAGCAGAAGTTTTGAATTACTCGTTACCATGTGATCTACTAGTGTTACGAATGAAAGTCACATCTCCAGTGTTAAATAGTGTTTTCTGTAGTAAAGATAAAGCAAATAGGAGCAGAATTAAACCTGTACCAGTAGTCATCAGAGTAGTACAACTAAAAGCAGTACATGCTAGTTGTCATCAGAGTACTCATAATCTCATATGGCTATAAACCTACGACAACACATACAACTGATAAAGAAACTTTGCATAACCAGCAGCCATCGAACAAACAATACAGAGACAAGATCAAGATTACATGCGTACCTTCTGCAAAGAGAGAGCAGGGGCTGTACCTTCTGCTTCTTCGTTAGCCGAAGGTAGACTCAAGGTGATAGCCAAAATTCATCTACTACTAGAATCCTACTCTCTCACAGATTAGCTTGCTAAACAGCTGCAGAAAACATCAGATTAAGATGGATTGTGAGTACATACTAGTTTGGTATGTCTACTACTGTCAAAAGCTTGAGAAATAATCCCTCGAAAATTGGAAGCTTCTATACCAGAGCTAATAGAAAGACTTTGTGAAGCCAATATATAATTTCTGAACTACCTTGTATATCTACTAAAAGCTTAGTAAAGCCAATTTATATGGTTCTGCATTTCACCAATTATATAGCCTTGTGCAGCCTCTGCTGCCTCCGTTATAGGTTTCTATATACAGAAAGACTTCGTACCAGAAAAAATTGGTTTCACCAAGTCCGCCCAAAGAGAAAATAGCAAGCTGGGAACCATATCAATTTCAATGGAACAACATTATTTCAAATAACATGCTTTAGCAGAACAATATTAAGGCCAAG